TCCTCAAGCTGCTGTACAGTGTCATTTTAAGATAACAGTGACTCAACTCCCCTTTCCTTACAACATAATTGAATTAAAAAAAAGCTTCAAGCATTGGCCCTGGGTCCTGCACTCAGATGAGGCTTCAGTGTTCTGCCCAATCTCATGGAAGGTCATTCTGGTGCTGAAGCTGCACACACATGAAGATGGTGAGCTACCACTAGAAGGGAGCATACAGACAAGACCCATCTTCTTGGCAGCCTAGAAGAAAGAAGGAAGGTGCTACACTGTGCATCATTTTAAGTGCTTTGCGTCCACTCTCAATGTCCCGCACATTAACTCAATAATCCTGACAACCACTCCAATGCATTAGGCAGTATTAGCAAAATGGTTAGGAGAAAACATTCTGCCTGCCTTCCAATATTGACTTCACAACTCACTAGCCGGGTGTCCTTAGCTAGTTACTTATTCTCTCTGACTCAATGAGACTTATCTGAAAACTCAGGATAATATTAATGCCTACCTCCTGGGGTTATTGTAAGGCTTGTGTATCAAATATTCTTAGCATAATTCCTGCCACAAAGTAAGCACTGATTAAATAATGTTGTTGTATAGGCAATAGTAATCATCTTGCATAAGATCAAATACCAGTAAGAAGGTAGAAATCCTGGTCTTCTGACTCTAAATTTCAGGCTCTTTCTGTGACCACGTGTTACTCCACTGAATGTTTATTGTTTCCTTAAATGATTCAAATACCACAGTACGGTTTGTGCTGTTTTAGGAACACTGAAGTGTTCTTGCTAATTATACAGAACTGCAAAGGCGGGAGAATCACTTTTAGCGACCACTATTAGCAGAATATAATGCTATTTCACTTTGCACTGGCTTGAGAAGAAGACCCCACATAACAGACCATTTCGGAGATTCCCAAGGGCTATACTTTCCAGGAGTTATATTTCTTTGATATCAAAACCATTGTCACACCCGCCAGCAGAAAGGGCTGTCAATTTCACTAGACTAGAGTCTACATGATATTCTCTCTTCTGTGCTAAGTGGTGACAGCAACTGTTTATCTCCCTTTCCAAGTTGTTTTCTAATATTTTGTTTCAAATTCCTCCAAACAAACAACTTACAGCTGCAAGTCACGCTAGCTTTCTGGTTCACTGCCTACTTGGGCACAAATAACCGGTACACTGGCTCCCACTAGGCCTGGCACAGTTCCAGGCTCTTTGGGTACTGAACCTCTTGGAGTCCATAAAGTTAATTTTCCAGACAAACTTGATTTAACCTGGTATGAACTTCAGATGATGTAGCTTTGGGAAAATTCACACTGACTTTCTCACTTCATTTCAAAATATTTTTTTAATTGTCAAAAAGAAACATTCATGAACATAGACCATATTCTTTCTGGGTCATAAAACAAAATAAAACATTCTGAAGAATTTAAGTAATGTAAAGTGAGTTCTCTGAAAATAATGGAATTAAACTAGGAATCAATAACAGAAAGATATCTTTAAAAATTCCCAAATAGTTGGAAATTAACACACTACAAAAATAACCCATGAGTCAAAAAGGAGGTCACAAGGAAAATATTTTTGGGCCGGATGCGGTGGCTCACGCCTGTAATTCCAATACTTTGGGAGGCCAAAGCGGGGAGTCATTTGAGGTCAGGAGTTGGAAACCAGCCTGGCCAACATAATGAAACCCCGTCTGTACTAAAAATATAAAAATTGACTGGGCGTGGTGGTGTGTGCCTGTAGTCTCAGCTACTTGGGAAGCTGAGGCAGGAGAATCGCTTAAGGTGGGAGGCGGAGGTTGCAGTGAGCCGAGACTGCACCATTGCACTCCAACCTGGGTGACAGAGTGAGACTCCATCTCAAAACAAAAAGGAAGAAGAAAATATTTTGAACTGACTGAAAATGACAATACAATATATCAAGATTTTTGTCATGTATTTGAAGTGGTGCTTACAAGGAAAATTACGGCATTAAAGGCTTATATTAGAAGGCCAGCTTTGGTGGTTCATGCTTGTAATCCCAGAACTTTGGGAAGCTGAGACAGGCAGATTATCTGAGCTGAGGAGTTGGAGACCAGCCTAGGCAATATGGTGAAACCCTGTCTCTACAAATCATACAAAAATTAGCCAGGCATTGTGGCACACCTACTTCGGAGGCTGAGGCAAGAGGATTGGCTGAGCCTGGGAGACAGAGGTTGCATGAGCCTAGATCTCACCACAGAACTCCAGCCTGGGTGACCAAGCAAGGCTGTCTCAAAAAAAAAAAAAGAAAAAGCTATGTTAGAAAAGAAAATAGGTCAGGCATGGTGGCTAATGCCTGTAATCTCAGCACTCTGGGAGGCCGAGACAGGAAGATCACTCAAGGCAAGAGTTTGAGACCAGCCTGGGCAACATAGAGATACCCCCATTTCTACAAAAAAGTAAAAAAAATTAGCTGAGTAGGGTAGTGTGAACCTGTAGTTCTAGCTACAGGAGAGCCTGAACCCAGGAGTTTAAGGTTGCTGTGATCAGGCCACTGTACGCTAGCCTGGGCAACAGAGTGAGACCTCTACACACACACACACACACACACACACACACACACACACCTAAAATTAATGATTTAAGCTTCCATCTTAAAAAAAAAAAAAAAAAAAAAGAAGAAGAAGAAGAAAAGGAAAGAAAAAAAAACTAGAAAAAGTAGCTAGGCTGGGTGCGGTGGCTCACACCTGTAATCCTAGCACTTTGGGAGGCTAAGGTGGGCAGATCACCTGAGATCAGGAGTCTGAGACAAGCCTGGCCAACATGGCGAAACCCTGTCTCTACTAAAAAACACTAAAATTAGCCGGGTGTGGTGGTCATGCCTGTAATCCCAGCTACCTGGGAGGCTGAGGCAGGAGAATCACTGGAACCCTGGAGGCAGAGGCTGCAGTGAGCCAAGATTGCACCACTGCACTCCAGCCTGGGTGACAGAATGAGACTCTGTCTAAGAAAAAAAAAAAAAAAAGAGGTAAACACAAAGCAAGCAGAAGGAAGGAAGCAAATAATAAAGAGATGAAATTAGTAAAATTGTAAAACAGATAAACAATAGAGGAAATCAATTAAATCAAAAGCTAGTTTCCTTAAAAGATCAATAAGATTGATAGGCCTTAGTCAAAGTGAGGAAAAAGGAAAAAAAAATTTACCAGTATCAAGAATAAAATTAGAACACTACTATAGCTCTTACAGACATTAAAAGGATAATAATGTAATAATATTATATTGAACAAATTAATGACCATAAATTTATTTAGGTGAAATAGATGCCTTAAAAGACACAAACTACCAAAGTTTTCTCAAGAAGAAGTAGACATCCTGAATACCCTATATTTTATTTTAAAAACAGAATTTGTAATTACAACAATTTCAACAAAGACAACTCCAGGCCAAAGTGATTTTACTGGCAAATTCTTCCAAATGCCAGGTGCGGTGGTTCACTCCTGTAATCCCAGCACTTTAGGAGGCTGAGGTGGGCAGATCACCTGAAGTCAGGAGTTTGAGACCTGCCTGGCCAACATGCTGAAACCTCGTCTCTACTAAAAATACAAAAAACAGTAGCCGTGAGTGATGGCACATGCCTGTAATCTTAGCTACCTGGGTGGCCAACGCAGGAGAATTGCTTAAACCTGGAAAGCAGAGGTTGCAGTGAGCTAAGATCTCGCCACTGCACTGCAGCCTGCATGACAGAGCAAAACTCTGTATCGAAAAAAAAGAAAAATTCTAGGTTGGGCACGGTGGCTCACGCCTGTAATCCTAGCACTTTGGGAGGCTGAGGTGGGTGGATCACCTGAGGTCAGGAGTTCAAGACCAACCTGGCCATCATGGTGAAACCCCATCTTGAAAATAAATAAATAAATAAATAAAAATTCTTCCAAACATTTAAGGAATTAATAATACCAATTTAAGGTAAACATCTCTAGAAAATAAAAGGGAAGGTAAACACTTCCCAACTCATTATCTGAGATCAGCATTATCCTGATACCAAAACTAGCAGATACTACAAGAAAACTATACATCAATCTCTCTCAAAATGTGAATGTAAAAATTTCCAATAAAATATTACTGATCAAATCAGCAATATATTAAAATGATAGAATCATAAATAAGTTGGGTTTATCACAGGAACGGAAGGTTGGTTCAACATTTAAAAATCAATGTAATTCACTGTATCAACAGACTACATAAAAAAATCAGGTGGTGCACACCTATAATTCCAGCTACTGAGGCCTGGCAGAAGTGGGAGGATTGCTTAAGCCCAGGAGATCAAGGCAGTGAGTAGTGATAACACTACTGCACACCAGCCTGGGTGACAAAGCGAGACTCCCTCTCAATTAAAAAAAAGAAAAGAAAGAAAATATATATGATCATCTCAATAGATGAAGAAATGCATTTGATAAAATTCAACATCCATTCATAATTTTTAAAAGCAAACGAAAACACATCTAAGCAAACTAGGAATGAAAGTGATTTTTCTCAGCCTCCTATTAATAAAAGGCTCTGTGTTAGATACATATGGCTGCATAATAAATTACCCCAAAACATAACAGCAAACACTCGGCTTCTCGAGTTCGGGAACCCGGGTATGGCTTAGCTGGGTGCCCCTGACTCAAGGTCTCACAAGGCTGAACTTGTATTGTCAGCTGGGGCTACAATCTCGTCTGAAAGCTCACTGGGGTTGGGTGGTGGGGGGGGATCCACTATCCTCAAAAGGCTACAAACGGTCGGATTTCATTTTTATGACATTCTGGAAAAGGCAAAAGGAAAGAGACAGAAAACAGATCAGTGGTTCTCATTTGCAAACAGTTTCAGTTCACAGACCACCTCTAGGTCTTCCCTGTACTGGATTTCCAGAGGAGCCACCAGCCCTCTCTCCTCAGTTCCAGGCTCCTTTCTGAACCCTACTTGGAGTTACATTTAGTAGTATGGTGCTTGACACGGGATTGGCCCCTGTTTCATAGACACTGTGTTAATTTTCTCTCCTCGAGAACTGCTCCCAGGGCAAGTACCCGCGTTGATGCTGGCACTGGGAACGGGGCGGATGATAAAGTGGGAGGCAGTCTGCCCAGTGGCAACTGACCTGATTTCATGATTTCCCCAGGTCCATCCGATTCCCGCCAACGTGCTCAGACTTGAGCAGTAGGAGTCGGCTGGGAGAAGGATGGGGGAAAGGAACCGAAAACAGTTAAGGGAGGCTCTGCAAGCTTCCACCTCCCACACTAAAAGAGTCGGACAGCAGAAGACTGCAGCGGAACCTTCCCTGCTGGGGGAGGAAAGTGCTGACTTTAACCAGTTTCTGCGGCCTCGCCTTCCTCTTCTTTCCTTTCTCCCTCTCATTCATTCACTGACGCCGCAGCGCTGATCAGCACCGGCACAGAAGCGGCCTCCAAGGGACTAAAGGGAATAACCGCAGCTCTGAGGTGTGGGGACCGCGGCTCCGGGGAAATGTGGGCCGCGCAGGAGGGGCCCCTAGCGCAGGCGTCTTCCCCGCAGACGCGGTTACAGCTGCGCTTTGCACGGCCTGCGGGAGTCTGCAAATCTAGCAGGTCTGCTCTCCCGGGAGCGGGAAGTGCAGACACTCGGCCCGCGGTCAGGACAGCTCCCGTGGACGGACGGAGGCCCCCGGGGCCCTTCCCTGCAGCCGGGACCGTGTCCGAGCTGGGCCGGGCCGGGGTGGGAAGCCGCGGCTCCGCGGCCCCGCCCAGGCCAACCCAGGGCGGGGGCCGGTTCCCATAGGGATCGCGGGCCGAGCCGCTGCGAGCCGAGCCGGGCGAGAGGGAGAAGGCGAGGCGGGAGCGAGGCCCGGCCCAGACTGCCGAGGCGCGGTGAGTCCCCGCCGGTAAGGAGGCGCGGGCAGTCCCGGGCCAGCACGTGGCGCCGCTCCAGGCTGCGCGGCGTGGCCGGGGTGCAGGTAGCGGTGCGGGAAGGTCTTCCCGGTCCCGGGGGCACGGGCGCGGGCGCGGGGCGCGGGGTGGTCTCCTGCGGCCGGGCCTCGCCGCCGCCCCCGCGGGGAGCGGGAGGTGTCTTCTTGCCGCAGGGAAATGAGACCCGAAATTAGAACCGGGGAAGCCCTTCGCCCACCCCGTGCTCCAGCTCATGTGTCTTAGGTCGGATAAACTACAGCGTTAAAAAGATAGATTGTCTTACAGCTCGGCTTGTTTTAGGAAGGCAGGTTACATTTTAACTTGCAGGGTATTTAACTGGCGATTAAAATCGGGTTACCCCAAGCAGCGAACTCTAGGCTGTTATTCCTTATCGCGTTGCCATTGCCGACACGGGGCCACTTCTCATTCCTTAACGTGTGCTGTTCTGTTCTAGACCCGTGACAAACACCCATCGTTGGGTGGGGCTCTAATAAAGTCCGTTCGTGCCAATATTTTATAAGCGACGTTTTCAAACAATGTGAAGATCCTTATCTTTTTTTTTATTTATTTTTTTTTTTTTTTTTTTGGATAGAGTCTCGAACTGTCGCCCGGGCTGGAGTGTAAAGGGGCGATCTCGGCTCACTACAACCTCCGCCACCCGGGTTCAAGTGATTCTCCTGCCTCAGCCTCCTGAGTAGCTGGGACTACAGGCGCCCACCACTACACCTGGCTAATTTTTTGTAGTTTTAGTAGAGTCGGGGTTTCACTATGTTGGCCAGGCTGGTCTCGAATTCCTGACCTCGTGATCCACCTGCCTCGGCCTGCGAAAGTGCTGGGATTACAGGCATCAGCCACCGCGCCCGACCGAAGATCCGATCCATTTTAAGATTTATTCCTCTACGATGGAGAAGTACGAAAAAATTGGGAAAATTGGAGAAGGATCCTATGGAGTTGTTTTCAAGTGTAGAAACAGGGACACGGGTCAGATTGTTGCCATCAAGAGGTTTCTGGAATCAGAAGATGACCCTGTCATAAAGAAAATCGCCCTTCGGGAAATCCGCATGCTCAAGGTAATTGATTCACTTTTCCTTTTTTCTTTTTCAAGATAGGGTCTCACTCTGTCACCCAGGCTGGAGTGCAGTGATGTGGTCATAGCTCACTGCAGCCTGGAACTCCTGGGCTCAAGCCATTCTTCTTCCTCAGCCTCCTGAGTAGCTGGGATTACAGGTTCTAGCCACTACTACAGGCTCCACTTTTTAAGTGAATTTTTAGGGATGAAAGAAATAAAATGAGTCATGTTATGTTAAAAGAATGTCATGGCACATGGTTATATCCTACTTGATAGCCTTTTGACTTCAGTGACACAAATGGGATGTTTGCGCACAAGTCACTAATTATATAATGAACTAGAAAGGAGAAACAAAAGTGCCAGGTAAGGTGGCATTAACTTTTAGAGACGCTGTGCGACATTTCATTTTTTTCCCAATAGTTTCTCTCCCACCTGTAGGCCTGGCTTTTCAAGGGCCATCACAATTTGATAGTTTTGGGGTGTAAGAAAATTCAATTTTGCTAGCGTTGTTGATTTTTAAACTTCTAAGGTATTTTCTATTGGTATATTCAGCCTATTAAGAGAATTAATCATTTACCTGTTTTCAGACTGCTAGGAAGCTCACAGGTTTTCATTACACCTCATATGTATTTACTGCTGAGCATCATCATGTCCTGTTTCTAGAAAGAAGCGTTCTTCTTAAAGAAGTGAAATGATTACTTTTTAATTTTTTTTTTACTTTTTGTAGAGAAGGGATCTCACTATGTTGGCCAGGTTTGTCTTGAACTCCTGGCCTCAAGCCATCCTCCCACTTTGCCATCCCAAAGTGCTGGGATTACAGGCATGATCCATCAAGCCTGGCCTGATCACTTTTCAAATATGTATTAGTTAACCCTAAAAATACCCTGATATCGTGGGGTGGAGCTATCTATTACAAGCTGAAAGTGTTCTTTCCTCTAATGGAGAGACTTCTTTACAGAACTTCTGTACAGATGAAATCCAAATCACAATGTGAAAGGGGACATGTAATGAATACGATGGAGGTCAACTTTGTTTTAGTTATGGCCTCTGTGTTCTGACCCATATAACTAACTACATGACAAAAGCCACTTAGTGAGAGAGAGATGAATGAAACTTTCAGAGGATTTACTATTATTCTTGCTTCTCCATTTTCTTCAGATCACTCTAAAATCTTTTGCCCTTGGATAAGTGTGTGGGGTCACTTCTAGATAAGGAACCTAAATGGGAAGTAGCAAGCTTTGGATCAATTGAAATGGGTGGATAACAGGGAAACTTTTCTTTTCTTTTCTTTTCTTTTTTTTTTAAAGATGGGGTTTCACCATATTGGTCAGGCTGGTCTCGAGCTCCTGACCTCAGGTGATCCGCCCATCTCAGCCTCCCAAAGTGCTGGGATTACAGGCGTGAGCCACCGCAAACAGGGCAACTTTTCTATTTAGGTTTGGAATGTTCTTAACCAGCAGGATATTATCTATTGAGAGGGGATGCTTGCAAAGGCCCCCAGGGGAGTGCTCTCATAGGAAGGGGTGAGACTTGCAGTGTTTGACCATCCTCCTGCCTGGGTCACTCTGCCCTTACCCTCTGTACACAGGGAGGCTGTCGGGCATTTTCACTTTCTGAGGCTTTCCCTAGGGGAGGAGGTAATCATGACATTTCAAAGGTTCATTTACTGAAGGAAAATCTGTTTCTTGCAAAAAGATACTCTTTTTCTGATTCTGAAGATTACTTTTGTGACCTCCCCTTTCAAATCTCTCACCATACTTTATCAATACTACATTCACAGTGATAGCTCCCCAACTTGATTGAGTTCTTCTAGGATGGAGACTTTGCCTCTGTATCTCTACATCTCCAAAACACACTCATTGGCCTATCTAGGCCTCCAACAAATGTTATTGTTGGATTGAAAAAAATAGTTAACAAAATAAGCTCTTAGGAAAGGTGGATTTGCCAATGAATTGGGAAGTCAGATGTGTTCTCTTAACTGAATACTGATGTACTCCAAAGGGTGGGTTTGTATGCACATGAGCCTGATTTCAAAGCATGCAGCACCTCACTCTCCAGATAAAGTGCACAGATGTAGACACCCCTGATGTCTATGAAGTGGTGGGACTAGATTATAGGTAGAGTCTGTCCCTTAAAGCTGTAACTTTTCAGAGTTGTGTGATATTCCTAACACATGTACTACGCTGGGCATTCCCCTAGTTACTTGGGAAGGAGGCTAAGGCGAGTGGATGGCTTAAGCCCAGCAGTTCAAGGCCACGGTGAGCTGTGATTAGGCCACTGTACTCTAGCCTGGGTGACAGAGTAAGACCCTGTCTCTTATAAAATAAAGATACTTAGTCAATATTTGCCGAGTAGGTGAATTGAGAGTATGGGAAATAAACATTTTATTTTCTCCATTTATGTATTCAGTAGTCATTGAGCCCCAGTTGTGCCTAAAACAATGTTTATGCAGAGTTGTACACCCTATCTTTCAGAAGCTCAGCTCTTGGAAGGGAGGGAGGATGAACTGACCTTTGGCTCTCACTCCTGATAGACTGGGTTCCCAGTGAGCAGGGCATGCGTACTCTTGCCTGGTAAGAACTCTTTAGGTGTTTGTTGAATGGTGAAAATAAAGTGGTTGGGGACATGTTTGAGCTGAACTTTGAAATGTTTAAGGAACACGGAATGAGAGATAAGGCATTCACGGCAGACACTCTATCCTAGGAAAAGATGTGTAAGGGGAAAGCACAGTGTATTAAGGGAACACAGGTAATTAATAACCCCAGTGTCTTGGCCAAGATGCCTGGTGGGTGCTAACAGGCCAGGGAGAGGAGGAAGGGGGAAGCCAGGGTCCAACAGGATCAGGTTGTTGAGATATGCTGAGTGTATGATAAAATATATTGTTTGCTAAGAAGAATAATAGCAAGGAAAATCTAGCTGCCCCCACCCCCGCAGGTGATAAGTACATTTGTATGCTAATGGAGTAAATCCAGTGGAGAAAAAAAACTTGATTTTGGACTAGGGAGAGAATTGCTGAAGCTATGACCTTGAGTTACTGACCTCAGCCATATTAACCATAAATATAATTGCATAAAAAAAGACAATTTAGGCTGGATGTGGTGGCTCAGGCCTGTAATCTCAGCACTTTGGGAGGCCGAGACAGGCAGATCACCTGAGGTTAGGAGCTTAAGGCCAACAGGTGAAACGCGTCTCTATTAAAAATACAAAACTAGCCAGGCATGGTGGGAGGCGCCTGTAATCCCAGCTACTTGGGAGTCTGAGACGGGATAATTGCTTGAAGCCAGGAGGTGGAGACTCTAGTGAACCGAGATCGTGCCACTGTGCTCCAGCCTGGGCGACAGAGTAAGACTGCTAGATTCTTTATGTATGTTTTCCTTAATCTATCTGTAACAGGATCCACAGCTGACTCCAAGCTATGGGGTGAAACTTCTACCAGGGTATTCCCCGTCTTCTAGTTTGCATATGAAACATGGACCCTACATTAATTCAACTCCTTTCCATAACTTAGGTTTAAACATATTAAGGATGTATTGGATGAGAGGTAGGGTGGTCACAACTGGAAGTCAGGTTATAGAGAGGGACAAGGTAACTGAAAGAAAATCACCTTAAATCAAGAAGTTAGGAGCTGGGCACGATGGCATACACCTGCAATCCCAGTATTTTAGGAAGCAAACGTGCGGATCTCTTGAGCCCAGGAGTTCAAAACCAGCCTGGGCAATGTGATGAAACCCCATCTCTACAAAAAATAGAAAAATTAGCTGGGTGGGGTGGCATGCACTCGTAGTCCCAACTATCCAGGAAGCTGAGGTGGGAAGGTCACCTGAGTTCTGGGAGTCAAGGCTGCAGTGAGCTGTGATTGTGCCACTACCACTCCAGCCTGGGCAACAGAGTAAGACCCTGTCTCAAAAAAAAATCAAGAAGTCAGGCACGATGGGTTGATTCATTACAGGCCCTGTGGTGGAAAGTGGGCAGTGGTTCTGCATAAAGCAGGTGGATGCACTTGAACTCAGTGCAGCCCCTTGGAGGAATAACTGTGTGTCCCGCAAGGAGGGGGCTATGTGGTTCAAAACAAATACAAACCAACCAACCTAGAATGATTGTGTTACTAAGGCCCAAGCCCCTATGCTGCTGAACCTTCTCTCTGTGGAATGAAAACGGTAGGAAGAGGAAGGAAAGAATTTCAGCTGCAGTGGCAGCAAAAGTAGATGCTTCTAGTGGAGTTGGAGGTCAAGGACAGGACAGTGTCATTATGGGATCTCTGGGTAGATCTTCTACCTATGGCAGATGGTATGGGGGCATTAAAATATATTAGACCAGCATCAGTCAAGGGCTGAACACAGCAGCTGGGACATTGTCTGTGACAGTTCTCCCTCCAGAAGACATGAAAAACAACAGACAAGAAGAAGGAATCGTCTGCTCTGCGGCAGGTAGGGGCAAGGGACCTAGTAGATTTGGACAAACTGCCAAGTATGGTTGTTACCTAGGATGCACAAATTACACTAATGACAACCTTAGAAGGTAGATATTGTTATCCTATTTTACAAATGGATTCAGGATGGTTAATGATTTGCCAAGTCCTCCCGCTCAGTAAGCTGGAATGCAGTCACAGTTCCCTGTGTCCCCAAGTTCATGCCATGTGGCTTGCCCACACCAGAACCATCCGTCACTTTACAGCAAACACCATACTCTGAAGTCTCCCAATGACTGGTCCTCAGAATTTATACTGCCCTTTCTCCAGCAAGGCCTTAGCTGTGAGATTCATGGCTTCCGTGGAAGGCTGAGTACAGACTTGCTGGAGCAACGGTTCTTTCCGTGTCTGATTCCATAACCCTGGGGACTATTTTAGAAGGCTCAAAGTTACAGTTTGCCACCCACAAAGATGAGAATAAGTGTGAGGGGAAATGTCCATTTGAAAATTAATTATAATACAATGGAATGCGGAAATCATAATGGGAACAAGATCACTCATAAAGGGTGAAAATTGGTTCTTGGCAGGTAGCA